TCTTATTATATCTATAATATTGGATCTATGACTTTCTTATTTATTGGCTAAAAAATGATGTACAAAAGTTAATACCTAGATCTGACACACACACACACACACACACACACACACACACACACACACTACATAAACCAAAGTGAACAAATAAAATATGCAAGTTTTTGAAAACTGCTCCACTGTATCCATTTTACACAATCTCTCAAAAGACTGGAAATCATCCTCTTATTAGACCACCTTAAATAGGACTCTCCAAGATAGCACTAGGCCAACCACCAAAAACTGGGTATAATGATCTTCCATATTAGGAAGTTCCAGGTATTTCTCTTTCTTTCAACCCAGAAGACTCCCAGGGCAACTTGTGGCAGAAAAAAAAGTACGATGGGGACATCTTAGGACTGAAGGAGAGTATTGCATCAATTACTTATTTTTTATTTTCGGTGGAGTCAGCTTGTCTGAATTATAATAGCTTGTCAAAGCTGAACTGTAGTCTTTTAAAAAAATGTTGCAATGTTGTTTGTGATGCCCAATAGTAGTAGGAAATTATAATTTTATCATAAAAATGACATCTTGCTTGCAAAAACTAAGCTCAGGGCTAGTTCACACCAAGCGAGAAGCAGATGCAGAGCAGGGCAGGTACAGAATGGATCAAAACTGCGTCCAATGTATTCTAATGGTATTTTGGCCTCTAGTTCACACCAGAGCATTCAGTTCCAGAGCATGTGGAAAAACTGCAGCATGTCCTATTTTTTCTCCTCTGGAGTGCACCAAAACCGCATGTAAATGCCCTGGAACGCACTGAAAGTCCATTTTAGGTTTAAAAAAAAAAAAACAGATTGCAAAGCGTGCAGAAACTCATGCAGTTCTGATCTGCATTTGGTGTGAACAAGCCCTCAGTGTCCTTAATGTGTGCAACCAGTTTGTTTTTCAGAAGTTATACCAGACCACCCTCTGCTCTTCTGTCACCACAAGGGTAAAGCTGCCCATACACCTTGCAATCAATCGGCCCAAACTTTTTGTCCAATGATCGAACCGACATAAGATTTTCGTACAGCGGCCCCATCCTGCCCCGATTATCCCAAGGTTCAATCAGCCAGTAGTGAAAAAAAATACCTGGGCGAATTGCGGTAATCGACTGTACGGATTTTCGTTTGCGCATTAGCAGTGTTAATCGTACGAATTTTGACATACGGAAACGTCACCAACCTTGTCAAATCGTACAATTGACAAAAGTCGATCGATTGTACAGTATTTGTGGTTGTACACTGCCCATCAACCTTACGAATATCGGACAAAAACGCGATCGCATATACGAAAATCGGCCGATAATCGTAGGGTGTATGGGCACCTTTAGTCTGCACCTTTTATAGAAAGAGGCACTGGGTGCTACTGACTCTGCCCCGCCCCATCCCAATTCCACCTACATTTTGAGATCACTAATGCCCGTCAAAGCACTATAGACAGGCACATTTTATTATTAGAAAAATGTTGAATGCATGATCAGAAGGAGCTTTAAAGATATCACTTGTCTGCACATTTTACTTCTTTGTCAGAATTACTAAACAACCACAAAGCTCTACTGGGAGATGTATCCCAATATCCTGACTTTTCAGTGACCAGATCCTCTTCCTGAATCTCTTCTCTCTGCACTATTCCACTACAGATGGACAATATGGGCAGCCTGCAACTGTTCCAAGGAAATTTATAGCACTGAATGGCAAGTAAACTGCATAAGATTTATAGCATGATGTACTAGGGATGCACCAAAATGGAATTTGGAGAGCGAAATTGAAAATAAAAAATTTGTTAGACCAAACCGACATTTTTTTCCAACCTTTTTATAAAAAAATTGTAAATCATTTTTTTTTCTGTATTTACTTTACTGTCGGGGGCTCTGGGGAAATATCAGGGGTCTAAACAGACCCCTGATATTTCCCTTTTAAAATAAAAAAAAAGTCCTCAATCTCTTTCTGCAGGCCCTGTTATGAATGAACGTGAAACCTCTATAATGAGTGTTTCTGTTCAATCAAAAATTGAGGATATAGTATGAGTTACACTGTCCACAATCATGAGTGAACAGGAAGTGATGTAGATCACTTTCCATGCATTCATAACTGGGAAACAGTATGCACACTATGTCCAGTTATTTACAAACAAACACTCAACGATCAGCTGATCGGTGAGTGTTTGTATACCGCTCTGCATGCTGAATAGGCTGTCACAGGAGGCCATGCAGGCAGTGGGATAGGAGAGCAGCGCCTTCTGCGACAGATCATAGCGCTCTCCTCCACTCACTGCTCTCCATCCTGACTTAGAAGGCGGAGCCGGGAGGTTTGAGAGTAGAGCCCCGCCTCCTGTAAGATGACAGCTGTCCCCTCCCCTCACTGCTCGGCATCCTGACAGCTGTCACCACCCGCTCCGCCTCCTGAAAGCTTCCCTCCTCCCCGCTGGGCGCTGGATCAGAAGGCACACAGACTAGTGCCCAGCAGGGAGGAGAGAAGCTAGGGATACACTGAATTTTCGGCCTTCATGGTATTTTCAGCAACTTGAAAAAAGAAAAATTTTCAGGCCGAAATGTTTCGGCGGCTGAAATTTCGGTGCATCCCTAATGATTACAAATTGGCTTTTCATTTCCCATGACTCCTCTTAGTAGGTATTACAGCTTTCCTTTTTTTGAGTCTATACCTTCTATATTGCTGTAAACAAATATTTGGTCAATCTGGAGACATGTTTAGCATAGTTACAGTAGCTGTGCTGTTGCAGCTCTGACTTTCAGTACGAACCTTCATTGTTGAAACTAGCAATAGGACTGTTTTAGGCTATTCTCAGAAATCCAGCATTATTTGTATATGTATTATAAAACACTGAACATGAACTAAATTACAAAATAAAAGAGTGCAAAAAGATTTAATATGGTTGTTAAAAATACCAGCTTACCTTAGCATAATTTCCACAGTATACCATGTAATTTAGCTGTCCATTTTCCATAATGTCATCAAATGGCATTTTTGGGTGAAAAATATCAACCACAATGATCTCCTCTTTAATGTCCACGTCCAACTCTGGAGGACCAAGAATTCCTAAAAAAAGACAACATTAAGGTTACCTTATACAGGGTAGTCACCATATAATGTAAATGGTTCAACATAAAACAGAAGTCACCAACTTGCGCAACTAGATCAATTGTTTATGGACTGTATATTAATAGCCTTAAAGGAGCTCCAGTTATACTGATAGTTAATCCAGAGAAGATGCCCTGAAGCCTGGCTAGTTGGATAGGGAAACATCCATGGAACAGCACTGTAAAGAAAACCATAAAACCTGGTGTATATCTAAATGCACTATAAAAGTAACTGTTTAATACAAGTTAAAAGTAATGCGCTTGCAGGATATTTAAAAACATCTCCTGTAACACATCAGATGAAAGTCCGATCTCAGCTGCTGGTCCAACATTGTTTTCAGGATGGAAGGCACATGGAGACAGCAGAGTCCATTCCAGAGAGTTTCCAGATCACCTATGCTGGAAGACACAGATCTGATCCAATGGCTGAGCAGTGATGTAGTTGGTTCTCCTCAAGGTGGGATCACAGCTGCTAAGTACTTACAGGTCATCAGGTGTCAGACGTTGCTAGGCAACGCGTTTTAGAGTTTCTTTGTAAAGAGGCTTTCTCCATTAGCCTTCCATCCTGAAATCAATAGGAAACTATTGGGCGGAGCTAGCTGTCACTGCTAGCTCCGCACAATCGTTTTCCATTTACTTTTTAAAAACTTTTTAAACTATTTTTCTGTTCCGCTCGGTCCCTCTGAGGGACCAAGCAGAACAGCCGAGCTGAATGCCGCTCAGCGGCATTCTGCAATTCACTCACTGCTGTTCGGCATCTATAAGAATAGACCGAACAGCAGTGAGTAACCTGCCGGAGGGTCGGCTCAGCCGATCCAGATGTTGGACCGGCTGAGTCGAACTCCTTCTGCACTTTGGGTCAGCTGAACATGTTCGGCCGACCCAAAGCCATGTGAAGCAAGCGGATGTACGGCTGATTTCAGCCGATGTACGGCTGAAATCAGCCGTACCAGCCTGAAGTGAATAGCCGAACAGTGTTCGGCTCACTTCACTTGGGGTCGGTTGTTCACTCGGCTGCCCTCGGCAGCTTAGTGAATAGACCCGTAAATTTTTGTTGTTAGCAACTAAATTTAGTTGCGAACGAAATTCTCTGTTTACATCTTGCTGTGGCAGACGGCTAGATTCCTCAGCTGGCAGGTGAATTAACACAATGGGGGCAGACACAATCACCGCTGCTCAATTTGATACAAGTGATCTAATTAGATCACTTGTACTAAATGAGCAGCGGCACCACAATGTACATTCAGCTCTGCTTGTCCGGAGCCGGGCTAAATGTACATAAAAACTACTCGCCCGGCGCCCGAAACTGCATGTCACGGGCGATAGGAATTCCACACCCCTGATCTATCTATCCTGCCAAAGCTTTTATATCTCTATCCAACCAACGGTCACCTTCCTGTACCCAGCCTGTGACTGAACAGTAAAAGAGAACAGACTAATGAGGTTATCGCTCTGATCTCCTATTAGCATGTTCCTTGTAGCACATGTGGATGCAGGACAAATGACTGGCCCCAACTGCTGCCCTTCTCTCTCCCAATTGGGGCGCTGCAGCACAGGGATTTACAGGAGGCTAAGATCAAGTCAAATCTAGGTATTTCTAATAGTTGCATTTAAAATACATTAACAAATCTTTAATACATAACTGCATTCACTGTTTTTTTCTTAATATCGGCCTGGAGTTCGACTTTCATATGATCTAAAATACTGATGTATGCAGAATACCGACATAAAACCGATCATACAATCTTATTATGATGATTCAATCTGCCAGATCATTATCAAGCTGTTTATATTGCATAGTTTAAAAACTGAAGTAAAAGAATAAGAAAAAAATAAGAGTATAATAAACACATTTTGCTGGTTTAATAGTCACTTACCTACACTGCTTAAGCTGAACTCTATAGTTGCGGGTTCGCTTGTTTTAGATCCAACCAAAGCTTTTACTCTTACTTTATAATAGTTCAAAGGATCAAATATCTCATGGGAAAGGTCACAGTAGTGATGTGAAATATTCTGGCAAGCCTCAATAACCATCCAGTTCATTTCTCTGAAAAATCATTTCACAATAAAATATAAAATAAAACAAATTTAACAATTATAGTAATCATCATAATTTCTTTCTGAATCGATATTTTTAAAAAGCTGTGTACTAAAGTACTAAAAAAACAAGGCCTAGCACACAGAGGTAAAGCAAATAGTCCGATGGATTTGTTTCGTTACCATTATGTCTTACTTGCCAAATGTTTTATATTTCTATTACTTAGAAGGTAAAACCATCAGGCCCATATTATCTAAAAGACCATGTAGGTCTGGGAACATGACAAAACTAAATGCATATGCCTCCCTGGCTCATAAGGGAACAAATAAGAGAAGACCATTGTTTATATACACCCCAATTGTGCCCTTCAGTAGAGGTTACATGACCAAGAGCCTAAACCTTTAGACATGTGGTTAGCACTGAAGGGAACTTCCAGTAGTATTGTACCAAGGAAAGTGAAGTTACATTTACTGTTTTTTATTGCTTACTGTGAACTGGCCTTACTCCTAGTGAACAATTGCACTCCACTGGAAAAATCCAACCTAGCCAATGTATTTATTTATTTTTAGCCAAAGATGATCAGCCAGGGATGTTTGCTTACTTTTAGAAGAAACTATTTTGGATCAATATCACAGCTCCTAAGGTCTATGGACATGTATATTCTGCAGTTAAAACACAAGTATATAATAGGTAATTAACAATACTTACACTTTGTCTAATAGATCTACATCAAAATAAGCAGTCATTTCCATTCTATTGTAGTCCCAGCGTAAGCTTGTATTAAAATTATAGGAATTAACCGTTAAATTGAAAGGTGTTTGAACTGTAGAGAGCAAAAAAACAAAAAAACAACATTCAAATTAGTAACGTGTATATTTTTAAGTGTAAAGCATCATTAGTTATGTGGTTTAGGTAGTGCTTTATAATACCCAAGTGTAAGTAATGTTTTAAAGGGAGCCTTTGGAACATGACGAGTGGCAGTATAACATCATACAGTCATCAAACATGGCTATACAGTGGTACCTCGGTTCATGAACTTAATTCGTTCCGCGATTCTGGTCGCGAACCGATTTGGTTGTGAACCGAATCAAACTGTGATCACACCACGATCTCGACTAGAGGAAGCCATGACCATGTGACAGAGCAAATGGCTGCGATTGTGTTCGTCACACGAAGTGGAGTTAGCGAATGGAGGCAAAATTTTGCCGAACTTCCTGTTCGTGAACCAAATTGTTCGCGAACAGAAGCGTTCGTGAACCGAGGTACCGCTGTATAAGTAGCAACCATAATGTGGCACTATCACGCTACATAGTCAGCAGATTGAAGCAGAATGGGGATTTAGCCAAAGTAGCATATTTGGCTCCCCCTATCACTTGGATTGACATTGATAGAGATTGCAAAAGAAACAAAGAAGCAGCCCAATTTGCACTTGTACTGAGAGAGTCAACCCTGTTGGACACCAACCGCTTACAAATTGCATTCCCCTTGTGAAGTAACAGACTGGTGTACAGCTTTAACCAATATCACCCTGGTTTACCTCTTGAACACTTCATTTGCACATTCACCAGGCCTTAGGCTCCTGCCCAGGTTGCCGTATGAATGATCTGGCTCTGTCCATATATCCGAAACACAGGCATAAACACAGAAATCTGTGCCAAATGATGCTGCCCCCCCCCTGTAGACTTTGCAGGCCGTTGATGCACTGTAGTAACTGAATCCATATTTACGAGAGCTAAATGTTGCTATGTTTTTAAAGACTTTCCCTATGGCCCACATATCGGGCCCCATTCATACAGGAGCAGTTTAATGTGCATTGTTCAGACTTTGGCAGCTACCACGTGGTACGAAACGGATCGGCCCGCAAAATAGTCCAAGTGAGATTTTTTGATGGATTACGCACGTTCGCAGCTATAGTAATAACCGCAAATGAGCGGAATCTGTGGAGATGAAAGATTTTAGCGTTTGCATGCCCCGCTGTCTTCCGCACAAAAACGGGAAACGCAAACGCTATATGTGAATGGAGCCTTAGAGAAATGTTTTCCTGGATAATTACTATGCATCAAATAAAAGTCTTACAGACACACAAACCTTGGAACAAAGAATTACTTTAAAAAAAAGAAATGAAACTTATTACATAAGCTTTTCTCCACAAAGAATATGCCCAGAGAGCTAACACTTTCCATTATCCTTTCTCAAAGAAGAATTTAATTAAAAGGAGATCTATGAGGTGAGTCATTTCCACTCATCCTTATAGTTAGAGCCGATCTGTGACAAAGAAGTTGTCACAGGTCGGCTCTATCGCTTGGGAAGTGAGCAGAAACATGCACCGATCCACTCACTTCGCCATCGTCTCCCTGGAGTGAGCGGTAGCTGTCAGTCACCGCTCCCCACAGGGATTCCCCCCTCCCCTTTCTGATCCTCCAGCATTGAGTGGAGGAACGAACTGGGGAGGGGGCGGGCACAGATGGCTTTGCCTCTAGATAGGCCGAGCCAGGTGTCACTCACGCAGCTGGGTAGATCTCAACAGCATTGTAGGGATCCGTCCTGACTGCAGCACTCTCAGTATATTGCGGGCAATAGCTTGCTATATACCGAGCTTTGTGTCATGGGAGGAGGTTAGTATATGTCCTCCCGTGACCCTTACCCCATAATTCTCTTTTAAAATAATAGAGAATGCCTTTGAAACTAGCAACTGAGACAACACATAGGCGGAATATGTCTTATTTACATAGTGTATACAGTGCAGCAATCAGGACTAGATGTACAATATAGTGTATAGAGTGCAGCAGTAAGGACTCTAATGTACAAAACTACATTTAAAGTGCAGAATTCAGGCCTATGTAATGTACAACACAGCATAAAAAGTACAGCTGTCAGGACTGTACAACGCAACGATCGCACGTTACAGTGTGACAGGTGCATTGAATTGCCATTCATTTGAATGGCACCCCAAACGCATTTCCTGGCTACAATGCAATCAACTGCATTGACATTGGGCTGCAGTGCGGTTGAAAAAAGTAGTGCATGCAACACAACACACTTGCCACACCCACGCACAGTAGGTGCAATGCGTGGTGCCGTGTGTTAATCACACGGCACGGTATAGGTGTGAACTGGCCCAGAATGAACCCTTATTGTCCCCACATTGTATAAATACTATGTGGCACATATCGCGTTTTTTTTCTTTACAGGCCACAGGGAACCAGGAGATGGAGCTGCAGGAGGGGACTGACACCCTAGCATTATGGACATCCTCCTGTAATGCTGGGGGCGGGAAGACAACTAGTTGTCACTGGTCGTTACCCAGCGGTCCTAGCAACCAATGACTGCAGAGGAGGAGGACCCCAACATCATTGGCTGCTAGGACACCAGCAAACATAGCAATCAATAGCTGAAGAGAAACGCAGTCTGAACATGGACAGAACACTGTCCTGCGCTGAGCTACAGCTTGCGGTGAATTCATTGGACTTGGAGGCTGGCGTATCCACTTTCAGCCAGCCATAGACGAGCACTGGTTGGCGATCAGTCTGTGTCCGGACAATGTCGTCAAATGCCCAGGTCTGGTATAGAGTATAACAGTCGGGACAGGATGTAACATACAACACAGCATATGGAGTGAATGATCAGGACTATGTAACACACAACATAACACGTAAGAGTGCAGCGGCCAGAACTACGTGATGTAAAGCGGTCAGAGTGCAAGGATCAAAAGATCTTTCAAAGAGGGCCATTAGGGGTCCTTTCAGGTCTTTTAAATATTTTTCTCCCAAGCTAATGAGACATATTTTAGACTGAATGGCAATATAGTTTAACATTCTATATTAAACATTGTCCAATAATTTGCAAAGATTTACTGCACTGGGATTCTTGCTGGTACACTATAACTGAACTATTAGTGCCCATTCACACTGGGCGTTTAATCGCGCGATATTGCGCATATTTGCAGCGCGATATCGCAAGAAGTCGCTGTCCAATGATTTTCAATGGAGCTGTTCTATTGTACAGCTCCATGTCGCCCGTCGCTGTTTTGCGCGTCGCTTGTGCAGGACCCTTTTTCCCGCGGACGTCACGCACTTTTTCTATTTTTGCATGCAGCCCGACGAAGACGGTTGCGCGATCATCGCCCGAACAGCCACACTATCCCGGCCGCGCGAGGTAAGTGTCGCTTAGTGTGAATGGGGCCTTAGGCAGATGGCAGAAAATCAACACTACCCAGCGGCTGACAGGTAGAAGAAGCATGCACATACAAAAGGATGCCATGTTCTCTATATAACACAAGTGCTCAGCAGAGTCCCGGTGAGTGAGTGCTTGCACTTACCATTCGGCTAGCTATTGGCAAATCCACAGCAAACATGCTAGTGACACCACTAACTTACAGGCAGCCTTACTGAGCCCCTTTGCTGACCAAACTGCCTGTAATCCCTCTTGGTGGCCCCAATGCATGATTTTCATGTCCTCTTGGTGTGCAATCACTCTCTGGCCATGGTTCCCAATGTGGCCCACTCTGGGTCTGGTCTGGTCTGCTTGATCCACCACCTGTTGGGCACCTGAACATGTTGCAGAATGGCAGCAGGGTGCCAGACACTGAAATATACAATACTGTCAGGCGTAGTTATATCCACCCGACAGTACAACAAGTACTACATGGGTGTGTGTTATCAGATAAGGGGGTTACCATTCACTTCCACTGCACTGGCCACCAATGTTGGGGTTAACTCACTGCAAG